GCTGGGCGCGTGTGCATGCGTGCCCAAGATCCCGAGAGGAGAATAGAGGAGAAGGGACTGCAGCGTGGCCATCCCCCCAGGGGGGTGATTTCTCGCTTTCTGTCTGTCTGTCTTTTTCTGTCTGTCTGGCAAGTGCATGCGCCCTATAGCAAAAACCTCTCCAAAAAAAAGAAAAGAAAAAAACAAGAAAATCACACTAGACACCTGTGCATGCACGCCAAGAAGGGACTGCAGTATGGACATCCTCCTGATGGGTGATTCCTCACTTTACCTCTCTCTGCTTCTCTCTGTCTTTCTCTGGTGAGTGCATGTGTCCTAAGGGAAAAAAAAAAAAAAGACACAAAAATAAAATTTTGCTATTACTGTGGTTAGTTGATACCAAAAGTTTCCTGTATAGGAAGACAAATTTGGAATGTTTTAAAATGCTAGACCTCAAACCTCAGAAAAATTGATTCACTTAAATATTTAAGTGTTTATTTTTATTGGTAAAATTTTGATGGAATCAATGCTAATCTCTTTATAAAAAGGTAATGCAGACACTCTGAGACTTCTACTTTCCCCTTTGTGGTGTTCAAAACAGCCTTATTCCTGCATAATTTATAATAAGAATGTGGAAACACTGAGTCAGATTTTCCCAGCTGTCTATCATTAAAATGTGGGGGCAGTGAGTGGAAAGCATGGTAGATTTTCTTCTAGCTTCTCTATAAGAGAACTTCCCAAAAGAGTACCATTCTATATGGCCCCCAAAATTTCCTTTTAAGGATGCATACATTTCTAAGTAAGCTATCTTTCCACCTCCTCTTTGAAAAAACTAATATTGGGATTCAAATTTCAAATACAAAATAAAAACCAAAAGATGTCCTGCTCCAGAAAATAAAAGGGAAATGAGATGGGGGCCAGCAAGTGATGGTTGAGGTGCTGGGATGCCACATGACTGACCATGGTTTGAGTCTCAGACCCAGTAGACTGAGAAATCAGGCTGGGCACGTGTACATGTGTGCCCCGAATCCCAAGAGAATAATGAGGGGCAAGGGTGTGGCCATCCGCTCTAAGGAGTGATTTGTCACTTTCTCTTTCTCTGTCTCTCCAGCAAGTGCAGGGGCCCTATAGCAAAAATCTCTAAAAGAGAGAAAGAGAGAGAGAGAGAAGAAAAAGTAGGAAAGAAAGAGACAAAAAGAAAAAAAGAGAGAGAACGAGAGAAAGAAAGAAAGAAGAAAGAAAGAGAAGGAAAGAAAAGGAAAAGAGGATCTGGAACTTACTCAAATTTAGCTCAAAACAAAATCTTAGCAACCAATTATTTTTTTTTTTTCTTTTGGAGAGGTTTTTGATAAGGTGCGTGCGCTCGCCAGACAGAGACAGAGAGACAGAAAACAAGAAATCACCCCCTGGGGGGATGGCCATGCCACAGTACCATGTCCTCCATTCTCCCCTCAGAATCTTGGGCACACACGCACACGCTCACAACGTGAGTTTAAGTCACCGGGTCTGGGACTGAAACCGTAGTCGACTACATGGGAGTCCAGCAACATAGCAATTATGCCAACTGCTGGTCGCACCAATTCTTTAATGTAAGACCTTAATAATGAATCTCAGTTTTGTAAAATATATATATCAGAATAACTTCCAGGGATTTAATTTGTACTTTTGAAAATCAGATTAAATTTTAGACTTCCATTTCCTACAGGTGATATGTTTTGATATTCTAAAAGAAATTAATGTGTGCAAGACCAATACAAATTAACCTTAAATATTCTAATTGAACATTTTTTCAGTAACATCAATATGGTTTAAATCACTTTTATCAATACATTTTTCCATAGAATCCAAATATCACAGTGTTCTTTCTAATAAGATAAAGTGACTCTTGAAGTTCCATCTAGAAACAATTAGAGACTCTTCTGCAAATAAAAGTAGTAAAACAAACAGCGCTCTGTGGTTTAGCTGCAGAAGTAAGATCAGGCGCCGTAATCACAGCACATAGTAATCACAGTGAGAACAACGTACCAGAAATATTAACAAGAAAATCAGAAATAATACAGGTTATAAAACTACTCATCACTGTGCAAAAATCCCTCTTATTCTTTCTTTGAAAAGAAGAAGTCATCAGATTGAGCCTAGGAAAGACAGAGCACGACCATCCCTGACAGTACGAGAATATACCTAATAAACTAGTGTCTAGAGTCAACTTCCCAACATCATTCTTTAACTCCGTGATGGCTTTTTTCACTTTTTTCACCAGAAGCAGAGCTTGAGACAAGGATTCAAGTTTAAGTTATTTATTTGGGAGCCTCGGCAAATGCTGAGTGAGAAGCGTGGCCATAATGTCAAGAAAGAAAGGGCCATCTACAGAAGACACGGAAGCACACCTCGGAAGTGCCTCCTCTGGAAGCGGATGTGGATCAAAAGAGGAGGAAGAGGAAGCTGGAGGTTTATCAGTCATCTGACTACGACTTCTGCAGGGCAGAGGAGGCCAGGGGTGTTCATCTTAGGTACTTAAAGACTGCATAAACAGAAACTGTTTTCCCAGTCTGCAAAGAAAACCTTCAGGCCAATGACCCAGGTCCTGATGCTTGGGAAACCCCCAGCATGAAAGCAGTAATGTCCAAAATGCAGAGGGGTGTGGACAGCACTGGCTTCACCTTATCCTCCAAAAGAACTTCAGCTCCATCCACTGCCGTATGTATTGTTGCTATTTGACATCAGTTTTCTTGCCCCTTTTTTTAACTATCCGATGGAACATATATTTCTCATTCAAGTCATCTACCCCTAAGTATTAAATACACAAATTATCTTCCCAATGCCTTAATTTCTCCTTTTGAATCTATTTTATATTCTCCGTAGATTAAGATTTTACTTGGATATTTTAAATTCTTACCCATCAACTTTTTCACAATCAAGTTGTAAATACATAAATGATTCCTGCAATAGTAGCCATGTGGTCCACTGACCCACACAGAAAGAGCTCAGGCCTGGCGAGCATCAGAAAATCAGATGTCACTGCGGCAGCTCTGAAAGTACACAGGGACACAAAATAACGGGACGGGAAGGGGCCGAATCTAAAACTTAACAGGGACCAAGTGTTTTCAATGTAATGTCAATTCATTTGCTTTCAGCAAATAGTCTTTTTCAAAATTAAAATGGTCAAATATAACTATTAGCATTTTTAGGCTGTAGAGAAAGGTCTATAATAGAAAGGGTATTCAAAACGCTCATGAAATGTGTATTATGAAAAAATTATGAATGGATTTCAAAAATTTTTTATACCAAAATAAACTTACACTTTGATTTTATTTTTTGACAACCTTTTTGAAGTCCCCTCATAGCTACTAAGCTTTTTTAGGTTTCGGCCATACTGTGTAAACGGTCAAGATGAGATGATGATGTGCCTCAGCAAATTTTACCTAAAAACAACCATGACTGATGTAAGCATTAGAGTAATATAATGCTTCATAATTTATACAAAAAAAATCAATTCAGAGAACTCAGAAAACAAAAACTATAGTTGCTTGAATTAAAGGGACTACTATCATTTAAAAACTATATTGAATACTGAGCAAAGATTTGCCCAGATAAGATTAATTTAAATTGTTGAAGTTTTGGGTTGTCAAGTCTAGTTTTTTAATAAAATCATTATTTTAAAGAGAAATCAAAATGAAAAAAATATACCAGTACTTTACTGAAACTATTTGGATGCTTCTACATAGGACATGGAGGAGGCACTCTCTCATTGTCCACATGCAAGCATTTGACAGAGCCACTGTGAAATGAGATTCCTTTCCAGACGCAGGTTCTATATGCATCTGAGTGTTATGGTTTAGAGAATGGTTTGTCCCCCAAAAGTTCAGGTTTTGGAATTTAGTCCCCAGTGTAAAGGCAATTGGGAGGTGGTGAGATCTTTCAGAGGTGAGGCCTAGTGGGTGGTGATTAAAGCATGTAGGCATCACCCACAAGCATGAATTAATCTATTTCAGGAGACCCAGGAGTTCTAGCTTTCATGAGAAGGGGTTAACTCTCCTGAGAGTGGGTTGTTATAAAAGGAAGATGTCTGCTCCTAAGTCTCCCTGTCTCTGCTAGAACCTGCCATTCTGTCTGTTTCCGTCAGCCATGTTTTGATATAGCTAGCCTAATGCCAGTCTATGCCTTTAGACTTTCCAACCATCAGAATCATGAGTCAAATAAACCTCTATTCTTATAAGTCACTCAGACTCAGGTATTTCTGTTAGCAACACAATAGTGAACTAAGACAGGAAGCATCAGGTCACATAACCAAAAATAGCACTGTTCCCATGGAAAAAACCACTCATCATGCAATGCAGTTATATGTTTTTTAAAATCACACATTCTAATTACAGTAAATAATAAATATGAACATCTGCATCTTTATGATCTAAATCAGTGCTTCTCAAACTGTGAGAAAAGACCATTTTTAAATTATTTCCAGTTTGTCATCAACTGATATTTTTTCAAACACATTAAAGATTAATTATCAGAAAAATTGATTTTTAATATACAAAAGATAAGCCTAACTTTTAAAATTATTAGATTCAGTAGACATCAGTTTACTCTGTCAAATTTCTTTTTTTTTTTTTTTGGAGAGGTTTTTGCTGTAGGGCATGTGCACTTGCTAGAAGACAGAGAGACAGAGAGGCAGAAAGAGAGAAATCACTTCCCAAGGAGGATGGGCACACCGCAATCCCTTCTCCTCCATTCTCCTCTCAGGATCTTGGGTACACATGCACATGCGTCTGGTGTGAGTTTAAGCCACTGAGTTCGAGACTCGAACTGCAGTTGACTACATGGGAGTCCAGTGACATAACCATTATGCCAACTGCTGGTCCCCTCTGTCAAATTTCTAAAAACGGTTTACAACACTCTGAATTTTGGTTCTGACCTGGCCACAGGGCAGTGACAGATAGTGGGGAGCACTGATTAGGGACCACACTTTGAGTAGGGCTGATGTAAGGCACCATGCGTGTATTTATTTAAGAGACATACTTTACCTCTGACATTCTTTCCAAATCCCATGGAAGAAACTTTTTTGTCCACTTGTTCACTATTGTTTGATTTCTCCTTCATAACATCGTCATCACTAACAACATCAGCAGAAAATTTTTTCTTTTTCTTTTTCTTGTGTCGAGGTGGAAGCTTTTTTGGAAAAGTAAACATTGGGAATATCACAAGAAACATTGCAATGGCACAAAGGAGGAATCCACTCCACCTAAAAAATTGGGAAATGTGAATAGCATTTATGGCTTTTGCATTGTAAGACAAATTAGCAAAGTAGAAATCTATAGTGATAAAATTCTCCATAGAAAATTTCTTACCTTCATCAATTATACAGCAGCAGGAAGTTGGACAAACTAAGAAAATAAAGGGATTCTCCCTTTCTGTGACGTAACTGAGAAATCTATCCAACAATTATACAAATATAATCATGAATATTATAATCAGCAACCTGATTAGAATTTCATTCAAGTATTTGTTAATACCTATGTAATAGTTCTGCTAATCAACATTGTTACCCCCTTTACAATGTGTGTTTTATAATAAGTCACAAAGTCATAAATACAATAGAAAAATAATATGGTCTCTAGACCCTGCTTTGTGGATCAAATAGATACTTTTTTTAAAGAAAAGCATTACTATCTCATGTAGAATGTATCTTAAATTGCTGCTTACATTCAAATACTTTTTTGTAAGCATTTAAGAATGTATCATCCCCACCTCGCGCATGCTCACAACACTTTACTAAGTATGAGTGCTACCAAAGCCATTTCGATTTATTCCTTGCTTGCAAGAACTTACAACCTAGTTTTAAGCAAGCCAAAAATATAAGAAACAGCCTCCAAGAAATGGCAACAATGCATAGAATTAAATTTCAGGTCATGGCATAGACTATGAATGCTATAAAAGTTCAGGAAGGGGAGATTCATGGGTGTCAGTAAGCTTCCTGGGAGGCCAGCAGATGGTGTGGTGGTTAAGGCACTGAACTCCCACGTGGCAGACCACAGTTCAAGTCCCAGACCTGATGGCTTGAAAATCATTCCAGGTGCATGTGTGTGTATGCCCAAAATACCAGGAGGAGAAAGGAGAAGGAATTACAGCACGGTCATCCTCCCGGGGATGATTTCTCACTTTTCCTCTCACTGTCTCTGTCTCTCTTCAGGAACGTAAGCTCTCTATGGCAAAAAGCTTACCAAAAATAGAAAAGAAAGAAATCTCCTAGGAGAAGTAGAATGGGAAGTGTGTAGACTCTGGATTCTGTCTTTAAATTCATCTGGGGTTGCCACATTGCAGAGAACTGGGAAGCAAATACGAAGAATGGAGCTCAAATCCTAGTCCTACAGCACGACCATACGTTAAGGGCTGGGGCTTATTGCCAGCATAATTCCCCATAGGGCGATTTCGCAGTTCCCTTTCAACATATCTTCAGTAAGCAGAGGACCCTGGTCCTACAAGCAGGTTCCCCACTTTTTAACCAGGACTCCTCAGCTTCAAACTCTGCCCTTAAAGCTTCCAAGTCCACAAACACTCAGACTTTGTCCTCTGTTTCAGCATGCCCCCATCTGTTGTCATCAGAATGCAAACAGAAATCTAAACATTAATTTTGAATTCAATCCAGTAAGAATATAGCTCAATTGTAAAGCAAAAATTCACTTCAAAAAAAATAATGTTTCAGGAGCCAACAGGTGTGTGGTGATTAAGGCGCTGGACTCCCACAGGGCCAATTGCAGCTTGCGCTCAGAACATGGTGGCTTGAGAATCACACCAGGTATGCGTGCATGTGTGCTCAAAACCCCGAGAGGAGAAAAGACAAGAAGGGGCTGCAGCATGGCCATCTTCCTGCGGACTGATTTCTCACTTTCCCTCTTTCTCTGTCTCTTTTAATTTCCTTAAAAAGAAAAGTTTCAATTTAAGTCTATTATCAGCTGCTAAGTTCACAGTTTAATTGAAAGAAGCATTTCTAGAGTGGTCATTAATAATCCATTGTGCTATTCTCAAAGATATTTAAAGTTATATCAAATAAAAATTTTAAGATCATCAGAAAAAGGCTTTATTTTGAGAAGATTGCTTATAGCAGACTTTAAACAATCTCAATTATTCAAAAATATAATCACCAACCCAGTGCCTGACACTGAATAAGTGCTCAGAAAACCTGCTGAATAAATAAATCAAAAGAGATAGATTTAGACGGGGAAAAAAAGCAAGAGGCATAGCTATGGTGATGTCTGGGCCTGTAATACACAGCCTTCGACGAGGCCCTCGCCCATCAGGCACTGCTCGTTTGCCTGTCTGGAATTTCCTCCACAGACTGTTGTACATTCGTGCACCCTGCACTGGGTCAGCTCCCCAGACCTCTCCTGCTCTCCAGAAGAGGGCAGGCAGGGTGGTGGAGGAGGTAGCTCGTGAACTATGGTGATAAGCAGAGCTGGGTTTGTATTTTGTCTTTATCACTTACTAACTATCCTGGGAAAATTATTGTGAGTTTCCAAATCAGTCTTCTCGTCTGAAAGAGGGTTGATGAGCATTTGGGGGAGGGAGCAGGCATCGAAATTAAGTAAGACGGTATTTATAATGACCCTAATAAAATGCTTGCACTGAAACCAGCCATTAATTCATGGAAGCTAGTTTTGCTGGTTTCTTTGGTTTTTATGTAGACCTACGCTCAGACTTCCTACCCGCCTAACCCCCAGCTATTGACTTAAAGTTGTATGGACAAACTAAAGATACACATGTAATAGCCCACAGTGAGAGGACTTAACAGAAGAAGGGGAGGAATTATAGCAAATAAACAAAAATAAGGGAACCAGCAGTTAGTGTAATGGCTATGTCGCTGGACTCCCATATAGTCGACCGCAGTTCGCGTCCCGGACTCGGTGGCTTAAAACTCACGCCGGGCACGTGTGCGTGCGTGCCCAAGATCCCGAGAGGAGAATGGAGGAGAAGGGATTGCGGTGTGACCATCCCACCTGGGGGGTGATTTCTCGCTTTCTGTCTCTATGTCTCTCTCTGTCTGTCTGGCGAGCGCACACGCCCTAAAATGAAAAAACCTTTCCAAAATAAAAAAGAAAGAAACAAAAATAATAGAAAAGTTCAAAGTGGAACAAACAGAGCCGTATCCGTCGCCAGACTCCAGCAACATGGATGTGACACGATGTGATGTAATGATGGTGCTGACAAGAGCCCTGAGAAAAGCCGAGAGCTCCGTCCTAAAGACAGTCTCTTATTCCAGCTCTCCTCACTCTGAGGCTTAAAGTGAGTTACTCAACTCTCTGAGCTCCAATTCCCTTACCTGCAAAATGAGCGTAATATTAATGGCTGCATATGGTTGTTCCAGGCTTAAATGAGAATGCTTGTCAAGCTCTTAGTATAATTCTTGACCCACAGGAAGCACCCAGTAAATATTCAGTCCTTCTTTCATGCTTTTTTAAATGTTTACTTATGTGTTTATTTTAATTTGACCAGAGGGAGGTGGGGGGTGGGGAGGGAAAGCGAGAAAGCAAGTCTCCAGGTCCGGGATTTGAACCAAGGTTGGCCATGTGAGAGCCCAGTGCCTTAACCACCACACCACCTGCCAGCCCCCTTCCTTCACTCTTTCAGCATGTATTTACTGAAAACTTATCACTGCTCTTAAGAACTGTACAAATGACATTGCATCAGGTACCCAGGTCTTTGTGGAAGGTGGAAGTCTGCCAACAGGACCACTCAGCCCAGCTGCTGTGGCGCAGGGGTGAGGCTCTGCTGTGTGACCCTGGAGCCCCAAGGAAAGGCCCAGATTCACAGCCTGTGTCAATCTGAGCATACCAGGTACACCTGTAGGTGCTCAGGATCCTGGCTGGCTGGAAGGCTGCAAGCGATCATAGCATGGTGAGAACCTGTCCAGGGTGCCTGTCTCTCCCCCCAACACACACATACCTTCCCCCTCTCTCTCTACAATGAAAGACATAAATTCTCTCTCTCTCCCTCTCTCCCCTCTTCCCCATCCATTTAACATAAAAGAAAGAAATCTCTCTCCTGCCCCTCCCCCATAAAAGAAAGTTAAAAAAAGAAACAGGGCTACTCAATGAACAAAATTTAAATAGAGGGAACCAGCAGTTAGCGTAATGGCTATGTCGCTGGACTCCCACGTAGTCAACCACGGTTCACGTCCCGGACCCGGTGGCTTAAAACTCACATCGGGCGCGTATGCATGCGTGCCCAAGATCCCGAGAGGAGAATGGAGGAGAAGGGATTGCGGCGTGACCATCCCCTCTGGGGGGTGATTTCTCGCTTTCTGTCTCTATGTCCCTCTCTGTCTGTCTGGCGAGCACACGTGCCCTGTAGCGAAAACCTCTCCAAAAAAAAAATTTAAATAGAGCCCTACTCTATGTCCTATAATAACAATCTTTATCATTTATATAACTAGTATTAAAATTAATAAAATTACATGAACATTGACTAAACTCAAAGGACTAAATAGCTAAGGCATATTGTGTAGCAAGAACCATTTAAAGTTCTGCATATATAGGGACCATTGGATGGCATATTGGTTACATTGCTAGACTCCCACGTAGTCAACTGCAGTTTGAGTCCTAGGCCCGGCAACTTAAAATTCATGCCAGACGCATGGTCATGCATGCCCAAAATCCCTAAAAGAAAATGAAGAAGAAGGGATTGTCACATGGTCATCCCCCTTGGGGGGAGTGATTTCTCGCTTTCTGTCTCTCTGTCTCTGTCTCACCAGAGAGCACACATGCCCTATAGCAAAAAAATCTCTCCTTTAAAAAAAGTTCTGCATATATAAACTCACAATTCCTCAGAACAATCCTAGGAAGTAGGTACTATAACAACCTCTTTCTATGGATTAAAAGCAAAGAAAGAAAGAAAGAAGAAAGAAAGAAAGAAGAAAGAAAGAAGAAAGAAAGAAAGAAAGAAAGAAAGAAAGAAAGAAAGAAAGAAAGAAAGAAAGAAAGAAAGAGAGAAAGAGAGAGAGAAAGAAAGAAGGAAGAAAAGAAAGAAGAAAGGAACACAGAGAAGTAACTTTCCCAAGGCCACACAGCGATTCAGTGCAAACGCGCATTTAATCACGAGATTATGGCTCCCGAGTCTGCGCTCCTAATCACTCCACTCTGCTACCAGTTGGATTAAAGTCTCCCAGAAAGCTTTTAAAGGACAGCATAGAGCTCCAGTCAGACGAAAGGTCTGCCCTCCGTCTGCTCCCCGTACTGGCCTG